CACCCCAGGAGGGCATGTGCTCCCCAGATCTGCATGGGGCAGGCCGCAGCTGGGGCTGTGCGGGGCTCTTCTCGGTGAGGGCTGGGCTCAGAGCAGGCATCAGCGGTGCTGGGAGGATGCTGCATCCACCCCAAATTTCACTGCCACCCTGCTCCCAGCACCACCACTGCCAGCCGCAGCCCTGCCTCCACGCCCTGCTTCCACCCACGCATCGGGAAGTTCCAGGACAGCGCTGGGAGCTGAGCTGCAGCAAAATTTGGGATGGATGCAGCATCCTTCCTGTGCTGTGTGCAGCATGAGCATTTATCGGCCAAATTATTGGCCCCATTGGGCCGATATCAATACAGCAAATTTTCTTTATATTGGTACCGATCTGATATCGGACCAATGTATCGGTGCACCTCTACAGCAAAATAATTGAATTTAATGAAGTAGATGAAATTATACCATGCAACATTCATTTTAATACTTATTTATCTTCATTATAACTTGCAGCTGATACAATCTCTCTGATTCAGCATGCGTAACATTTAGGTTGAACTACTGTAAACTTGGTTCCTTTGACTGAAAGTTTTATCAATTGTCACTCGAAAGAAAAACATCCTTTGCTAGGAAGTGAGACAAGTTTAACCCACTGTGTCTACCTGGATACTTTGCATAGGGTCAGATATCTATATCTGTCTAAATAGATATCTAGATATAAAAGTAACATTCGTTTGCAGTTTTTGAACCACCAAGAACAAGGCTTAAGACTCTGGGAGACAGGCTGAGTCCTGTTGTTAGAAAAAAAGCCACACACTGCATTGTAGTCAGTATTTCTAGACACTACAAGTCAGAAATTATATGCGATTATTAAATCACAATTTTTACTGCTTTCCAGAAAGGTTAATGGTCCTCAGACAAAACAAAACTGCACCTAGAAGTTCATATCAAAGCCTCTGGAACCATGTAAATTTCACTCAATTAATGACTTATTTCTCATGAACCGTGGACTGCTCAGTTCCCTACTCAAAAACACATTTTCCTTTTGTTTACCAGTACCAAAAAATACTCCCAAACACTTATATTTATATTTAAGTTGATATTTAAACAATTGTATACCCCAGTAAAACTAGTTTACTTCTATCATTTGACAATGTGTTGTATTCTCTTTTCTTTCCTCCTTGCTATTCTGAGTTCATTTATTTTCACTTTTTCTATTATAGCCCCTTTCCCTTTTCTTCCCATTTTCCTGCTGTCCTCTACTCTTCTGTCTCTTCAGTAGAAAATATATTTACAAATTCTTACACTTTTCACCATAATTTTTCTGCTGACTATGTACTGAAAGGTATCGCAGCAAATCATTCCATGACAAGGTTTATTACCTCACAGAGGATGTCCTTGTCCTGTGGTCTCTGGAATCCATTACCCAACCAACATGGCTTTCTAATGGAGGGTTTGTACTATGTCGTGTTTTCCTCTTCCTCAGAGTCTAAAAAAAAATAAATGAAATGCTACTACATATATTTCCTTGATATGAATACATTCATTTTACTGAAACTAAAAGTTCACAAAATACTTTCAGGAACACTGTTACCTTCAACCAACAAAAGTTCATAAAATTCTGTATATTTTACGTAGCATATTAAACGTCCTAGGAAATCATGGAGTAATAGCTTCAGAAGCCAAGAACCTGGTCTTAACTAACAAATTCATTATCTTTAGATATATTACTTTCCATTATGGATTTTTAACAACATTTACCAACCACAAGGATGCTATTTTTTGGACAAAAGAAAACATCCGTAAGACAATTTTTATACGTAGTAGTTAAGCCATTATTTCTTGTAAATAAAATAGTTAAATTAACTAAACAATGCTGTTGCATTGTATTAGGACATGGTTATTCAGGACAAAGCTTTATACACAAATTTTTTCTCTTGACCTTTACATCAATGGATTTTGCTTCTTTAACCACAGGATAGAATCTTGGCGTTTTGTTGGGATCTTGGAGCCGTGGGGTCTGAGGCGTTTTGGGTGTTCTGGCAGGATGAACCCTTGGAGACTCTGGGACCGCTGTTGGCAGTGAACGAGCCATTGCTGTTGGAGGTACTTCTACAACAAACAGTTTACAAGACAGTTGATCTGTTAAATCTGTAAACAGAAAAAATACTAAAATTATTAAGATGCACCTTGAACAGAAACAAGGGAGATCTTTAAAACTTATTTCTATTTTGCAAAATAACTACTAAGGATCAGGCACATTTTTCCTAAAAAAAAAATTATATTAACAAATGAGAAGAGGGAGATTTACTTATGAAGCCTATAGTTCTTGGTATCTTACTCCAAATGAATCTAATTTATCCACTTTCATTTATAAGAATCTCCTGTTCATCAAGACATGCATTTCGTGGTTGAAAAGTGATGCATGGAAAAGTGTAAAACTCCCAAATTTTACAGCACAAATAACTTCCCTTTGCCAAATTAACACCTCCTTGAAAATCTCTTGCACCTTAATCACTGTAAACTTTTGTCCACACAACTACCTCCACTTTATTCAAAATAGTTCAGCTAAACAAACAAAAACATTGCCAATTATTCCACCCCCCGTCCATTACTGCTTATGTAACATGCTGAAAGAATATGTATGCATATAGTTTTCCTTTTATTGAATTGAACAATATTTATTTCAAAGAGGTATCTAATAGGTAAAAGTTCTTCTAAGAGCCCCAGTAGGCGCCAATCTGCATTTTTAGGCATGTATGTATTGAGAAACCAGTCCAGTATTGTTTAAATTGCAACCACTAGATGGCAACATGATCATAGTTCTAAATCAGTGATTCTCAACCAGGGTGTCAAGGGATTCTTTAGGGTGCCACTCAATATTAGCACTGCTAAGCATGCATGGTTCACAAGATAAACCCAGAGATTTCAAATAAGGATCTATAGTGTCAAAAGGTTTTTGACCTGTTGCAACAGAAGAATTGCTCTATTATTTTTCCATAGTCAAAAAATGAGTGAAAGCCAAGAGCTGTCATTTTTCAAAGGGTGTCTTGAGTCTAAGAAGGGATGCCTCAAGCCTAAAAAGGTTGAAAACCATTGTTCTAAATAAAAGTAAAATTGTTAAAAATGCCTAAAGGCTGTATATCTTTTATTGAACCTATTGCATGGTTGAGATATCTGAGAGCTCATCTATGTCTATCCCAGGTGTGACCTGAGGAAGGGTACTGTGATACCGGAAAGCTCATCTGTGATAATCCCAACTATGAAGTTGGTCCAATAAGATATTGCCCACCAGAATTCTTGCCTCTCATTTATTTCCTGGATTAATAAGGCAACAACCTCACTTCCACTCACTGCCATACCTGTTGGGGGAAGATTAGAAAAGGAAAGACAGTGACCAAATTCAGATTAGTAACCAAAATCAAGGACAATAAGAAGTCATTCTACAGGTACATAGATAACAGGAGGAAAACCAGTGGAAACATGGAACCAATGTATCTGGACATCTGATCACCGAAACCAAGGAGAAACTGAATTCCTAAACGAGTACTTTGCATCTGTATTCCACCAGGCTAAGAGTGATAGCCTGTCGACTACAAATATGACACAGAACAGTCACAGTAGGGCTGATCACCTACTAACAGTCAATGTAAAGCTAGTAAGACTAGCTAGAGAGGCTAGATATCTATAAATCAGCAGGACCAGATTAACTCCATCTGAGAGTGCTGAACAAACTAGCCAAAGTCAATGCAGGACCGCTGGTGAACCTCTGTGAGAATTCATGATGCTCAGGAGAGGTCCCAGAAGACTGGAAGAGGACCAATGTTGTACCCATCTTCAAGAAGGGGAGGAAAGGGGACCCAGGAAACTACAGGCCAATCAGCCTGACCTCAATCCCAGGAAAAACCCTTGAACAATTTCTCAAGGAGTCCATATGTGATAAGCTAGTAGAAGACAAAATTCTGAACGACAACCAGCAGAGTTCTGTTGTGGGTTGGGTAAGTAACCTCATTTCCTTCTGTGACCAGGTTACTCATTACCTGGATAAGGGAGATGAGGTCGACATCATTTACTTGGACTTTAGGAAGGCCTTTGACTTGGTGTCCCATGAAGCTCTCAAGGTAAAAGGGACTATAGGCTCAACAATTCAACAGTCAGATGGGTGGGGAACTGGCTGCAGGGTCAGGCCCAGACAGTACTAATACAGACTAAAAGCCTGATTTACTTTAAATTGCATAACCTATTCAATCAACAGTCAATGCAATGTCAAGGCTCTTGAAAGCAGCGGTCTGGTACTGAAGTCAATTTGAGAAATATTTTCACAAGTTTCTAAGTCTAATTTTGTCCAGAGGCAGCTAGGGTACCTACAGACCTCTCTTAGGCCCCCTCTACATGTTACAGTTACTATGCAATTAACTGATTAATTGCACAATTGAGACCAGCTCAAAGTATCTATCAAGCCATAAAAAGGTCTAACCAGGTATAAAGCCAGACCTCGAAAATGTGTTCTAACTTCATAGCTGGTTGCTATCCAGCTTCAATTTGCATGTGTGACAGCATCTGCCTCTGTGGCAGGGACCTCCACCACCTGACAAGACTCACAACCCCAGCAGCTATGGACTTGGTGTCCTGGCAGTCACAGGGTGCTGCTGTGATTTTTCAGCCCAAAGGGTGCATGGGGCACCCCCACAGCTGGCAGACAGCAGCTGCTACAATCTCCCAGCTATGGAGGGTATTCCATGCACCCCCGGGACTGGGAGATCCCAGTGGGAGACTGCAGCAGTGTCCCAAGGCTGCCAAGACCCAGAGTCTGCAGATGCTGGGGCTGAGAATCGTCTCAACTGTGGAACTCCCAGACTCAGCTGCGTATGGTGCTATAAAGTTAGTACATATTTTTGAGGTCTAGCTTTATAGCTGGTTGGACCTTTTTATAGCACGATAGGTACTTTGTACAGGTAGCTGGTCCTAGTTAATTGCACAGTAACTTGATGACTCAAATTCATGCTAAGCTTGGGTCTACTCACAGAAGATAAAATACAGAATACTGATGCTAACTGCATAATGCAAGAGGATGTGAGTTCATGGCTAAGCCATCTGAGAAGGAAAAATGAAGCCTCTCTTCCAGCTTATCTTGCTATATTCAGGATGACTTCAGGCAGGCCCATAGTTGTCTGGTGCGTAACCATGTGAAATGTCTATCCTTGATTAATTAGTGTGGTAAATATTTCTTTTGCGAGTAACCTGTGTTTATATGTAGGAAGAGGTATTCTCCATGTGCAATAGATATCTCCTCCTGATTTAGTCCAAGGACATGCATTTTTTTCCTGGTTGTTAATCAGTTTCTTAATATGTTCTAAACTGGATAAGCTCTTGTCACTGAAGAAGGTAACTCATTCAAATTAGAAATTTCTGATAACCAGTAATAAGCAGGTTTTTCCTGTCAATTACTGCTTGGGACTCTGTTAATTTACACAACTACAAGAATGCTTTGAAGATGCTGAACTAAGGGTATAAAAAGGCAGTAAAACAGCAAACAGCGTGCATGCTTCAAGAGTGAGAAATCTCTGACACCAGCTGCTGATGTGCCCAACTTACTCAAGAACTTGAAGAGAAACAGACCGCCTCTTCATCATCTGTTTGGTGAGAAATCATCACCTTACAGATAATTACTGGACTTTGATTTGGTTTGGGCTCACTTGGAGTAAATAAAACCTTTCTGTCGCTCATCGAACAAGGCGTCATGTCAATCCCTGGGCTAGTCCAAAATTCTAGGTTTTTATTTGCTAACAAACTGTAATATGTAGAGGGAGTCCTTTCGGATCTCTCTTAGGCCTCCAACTACTGAAGCTTGCTTCTTACTGGAGCAGGGGGAGCTCAAGGTCAGGATCCCCCTGCACTCGCAATAAGGCGTGATGAGAACTAATGTGGTCCCACAATCACAATTCCTGGCATGCACATGTGACATGGCAGGAGGCGCGACTGTGAGCATTGCGCGTTAGATCCCATCATGTCTTTACCTGCACGTGTAAAGGAGCCCGTACACAGAAATCAAAGATTAAGAGAAACAGAGCTGTGGGACAAGATCTTGTCCAACACCTACACGGAAGCAGAACCAAATATAACTAAACCCATCCCCCTAAGTCAGAAAAACACTAAAAGTTAGGCTGATCATCTGTTCAAAGTGGATAAATACATACCAAAAATCTAAGTGTATATGTTGAAATATTTATTACTAGGCCCAACACACCTATTTCTCTGATTTTTACATTTTATAAAAGTTTCTGTATCAATTTCATGGAAAAATTAGTAGAACAAAGGACATTTTGTTAACACTATAGGACTCCTTTAAGGAACGTGTTAATTAACTAAAAATTAACAAACTGCTTTAAAACTGGCTATTGTGAACATAAGTATTTACTACACAAGATGCACCCTATTTAAAATACTGTATATGCCATGGGTGGGCAAAATACAGCCCATGGGCCATATTCAGCCCTGCCAACTGATCCTATCCTGCCACCACTGGGAGCCTAGGAGGGAGGGCTGTACCCCACAATGCTACACTGTGCCACAGCTGGGGCCAGGTTGGGCCACGCAGCATACAGACTCCTTCATGCCCGCCCCCCGCCCCCCCCCGGGCTTCCTGTTGACACTACAACCATGCAGTCCTGGCACCGCAGCTGCCAGCAGTCAAGCCCACACATGACATGGTGCAATGCAGTTTGCCAAGTAGCTATCCCTCCCATCCACCTGTCACAATAAGCTGCTGTGGTGCCATTAGTCTGTAGCAGCCATGGAGGGGCTCGGCTCGCAGAAGCAGCTCATCCTAGTGAGCAGATGGGACAGCTACTTGGCACACTACATTGCACCTCATCCCGTGCAAGCCCCACTGTCAGCAGCTGCAGTGCCAGGACTGGCAGTGCCAACAGGAAGCTGGGATAGGGCAGAGGAGCCTGCACTGAACAGCCCAGCCCGACCCTGGCTGTGGCAGAGTGGAGTGGTGTGGCGCATGGCGTAGCCCTCCCTCCTCAGGCTCCCAAAAGTGGCTGGTAGGCCAGATAGGATCAATTGGTGTCCTCCCTCCCTGCCCTCAACAGCTCACCAAAACTTCTTAAGTGGCCCTCTAGCCCAAATAATTGCCCAACCCTGGTATAAGCAATACCAGGAAAAATTTAAGTGCTGTATTGCCTGCATGCGATACAGATTTCAGATGAAAAGTCTTTGGATTCTAAACTATTTTGCTTAAGACATTTGGTCCCTAGAAAATAAATGCCTCGCTTCACGAACTACTACCTTGTTCACGTTATACTTTTCATGTCATACCAAAGACCTTCTTGTGGTGTGCAGTAACAATGAAACACCTGAACTTTGCTCATGGTTATCAAGACTGATCTACATACTTCGAAATAGACTTGTCAGTTTGTGTCTGCTCTTTCTGATGCAACGAACTATCCAGAATATCAACAATTCCCACTAGAGAGCAAATATGTTCTTCAGCATACGCACTTGCCTGAAATCATTAAGAAAGAATACATATATACCGTGCTGTGATCTTGGAGGCCCTGGAGGAACTTCCTGGTTTGGATCAATGACTGGTTCAGGTGCAAGACTGTCAAACTCTTCTTTACTAATGAGATTAAGCTTCTTAAAGTTTTCAACCTCTTGCTGAGTTTAAAGAAAAAAAATATATATGTAGTACCGTTGTCTGTTATGTTAGCCTCAGAAATGATACAAATTCATAAGCACAGAAGTATACCAACACAAAACATGAACCAGAATTCACTCAGAATTGAGCCTATGCAATTACAAGTTTTTCTCATTGCTTTTCAGGAGGAAAGAGGGATGCAAGGAGTCCTATATACAAGAGCCAACACAAGCAATGAAGTGTGTTAAATTGTGTAATTCATAACTAGAAAAGCAATTAAATCTATACCTGGGGAACAGACAGATTAAGTGACTTGCCCAAAATTATTCAAGAGGCCTAAGCTGCAAGGATGCCTTTCCTTTCCTCTGCGGTAAGGTACGCTCGAAAGAGTTTTGTCAGTGTTGGAATAAGGAGAGAAAAATGACCACTTTCTCTTTTAATACAAAAATAAAGCAAAGATTTTCAAGAAATGGTCTACATTCTTGAAGTAGGTAAGATGCCTTTAAAAAGGCCTGGTTTGTTGTTTTTTTTTCAGAGGACCGGTGTTAAAGCAACACTCCTTTAAGGCACCTCAGGTTAACAAATGACGGGGGGGCGGGAGGCGGTGGCGGCGTGTGGCACAGGATGGACCTCAGGACTTTCTGAAGTCCTAGCCATGGAAATAAGAATAATTAATTAAAGGACAGATTGGAAGAAAACATTTATCGTTCTTGTATTCTTTCAATTGTTCAATTCCAGTTTACTGTCGTTCTGTCTACAGACCCAACTCCTTTCTAATAATCCACCCACTGCTCTGAACCCCACTTTTTTCTTGCTCTCCCCTAATTATCTCAGAAGACACTTTCAAAGCTATGTGAAACATATTTCACAAACTATGTGTTGGAGAAATTATTCGCTTAAGCTCTCAACCTGGTAAGGGAACACCTGCGAATACTCCTGACTCCAACGGGGCTCGTTTCCCAGTTGAGACTCAAATAAGCAGGAGACAAGGGTGTGGTCTTTTCAGTTTATTCGGCTGAAGGTTCCCCGACCTTAGAAAGGCAGAGGGGCCCCAGTTGCACTTTTATACATGTATTTATATTTTCTGGTTACATGAGATTTTTGCATGCGCAAAACTTTAGCGGAAAATTACTAGTATTGCATAACTTTTTTTTAACCTGTGATCGTAAACTCCAATCACAATACAATTTTAAACAATTTACTAAATAAGGCACAGGTCTGCTGTTAAGCTTGTCTATCATGCTTAGTTACTATGGGGGAAGTTGTGGGCACCTGAAAGTGCAGGCTGTGCTTCTTGTGTTGCTAGAGAAGGAAACCCCCTTCTCTGCGCACATTTTCTAACAGCTTTCTCCTCTTTTCTCTCTATTTATCCATTTCCTTTTCTCTCCCCCTTCCATATTAAAAAACCCACAATTTGAAATAACCCTTGAAATGCTTACAACAGAGACATGGGTCATTTTAGATATATTCCAAAATATGGAACCCAGACTGAGCATCAACAGGCTACTTTCAGTTCCACAGACCTGTATGCATCAACAGTTAAAGCTGTCTCTAAGCAAAAATGAAGTTGTGGATATTAAAACTGGAATTTTACTTGTTCAATCTTTTATACTCACAAGCTATTTATATTTAAAGAAACATAAAACATTCACAATGCAACTATTTTCAAGCAAAATCTTCACTTTTATAACTAACTAACTCCTTTTTTGCAGAGAAGATAATTCTACTCATCTTCCCCACAAAATAACAAAACTGTAGGCAAGCTCTGTACAGCACAAGAAAGCACTTGAAAAAAAATCTAATTGCCTACTTTAGAAAGAACTTAAGCACTACCCAAGCAATTCATATAAAACAAAAGTTGAAACCAGATATTGCTTCACTGGTTTAGGTCAGTTTGTGGTTGAAAGGATATTTTTATCTTGAATTTATCTAGCAACCTCTGCTATTCTGTATCTATAATAGGAAGCCTGACAGATGATATGCAGTTCCACTTTTAAGTACTTATGTCATAATCACAAGTTAACATTAAAAAAATTGCAACACCTTTATGTACACTGGGGTCACCAACCCAAAAATTTTCTTCTCTTTACTGAGAGTGTGCAAATGTTTTACTGACATCCATTATGCATAACGTAAGTGTAACCATTCTCCCAAGCCCTGGATGGCAATAGCAAGGGCTGAGTTCAAATGTAGGGGTTTAATAATAACTATATCTGGCTTGGGCCCCCACCCAGAAACCTGGGAATTTTAACTGGGTGTTCCAAAGTGAACACATTTCCCCACATATAATCAACACTCTACTGAAACAGGATTTACTGGAGGGGGAGGAATAAATAGAACCTTAGAGAAAACCTTAATTATTAAACTTTAAGCAAATCCAAACATTTTATGGTCTCAGTCACTAGCAAACCAGCCCAGGGGAGCTACAAGTCCATGGTGAAAGGAGACTCACCCAGAGCTGTTCTCTAGGAGCAATCCCACCTACACAGCCAGAAGAGAATCCCAAACAAGACCTAGGCCTACAAACAGTAATAGAGGCACAAGTAACCCTCAAACCTCCCAACTTGCATATTAAGGAAAGTATGCAAAGCAGGATTACAGTCACCATAGCAGAGCATAACCAAAGCTGAATCTACAGAATACAAGCAGGGTTGTATCAAGGAAGTGCAAACTACAAAGGATACACACAACTAAGAACTCCAACTAAGAATTATTTTAACCATCCTCAGAATCCTTCTATTTGTGACTGTACATTGAAACATCAACACTGTCATGAAGTAGTATTGGCAGTACAGTACAACCTCATAAATCCGGCATGCTCAGGATTGAGCACCTGCCAGAAATTTGAAAATTCCAGATTTCTAAAACTGAAGCAGCAGCCGCATGTGGAGCAGCACCGTGGGCTGGTGGATGGCGGCAGCAGCCGCTGTGTCCAAGCTTTCCCCTTCACTGTTCCAGAACTGGCCGCTGCCTCCCCCACTGCTGCTCCAGGACCGGCTGCCACTACTCCCCAATGTGCCGGATTTTTCAGAATTCCAAATTTTTGATATCCAGATTCATGAAGTTATACTGTAGTAATTTCTCGCTCCTAACTCCATAGCTCCTTCCCAGCCACCCCTCTCCTTCCTGTCTGGTGCCTTAGACTGTGTGGGGCTGTGCAACTGTGCCTACATTTAAGACAAGCAGCCATTACACGCAAAACAGGTAAATGAAGCCGCAACACATTGCTAGGAGGTGCAGAAGGGGGCCTCGGGGTCTCCCATGTGTTACAAGGTCATTAGAGCTCCCTGCAGGGTGCTGTGCTCCTGCTCAGACACAAGGTAATGTTGCCCTGCTCTGTCTGTCCCTCCACACTTCTTGCATCCAGCCTCATTCTGATGACAGATCTTCAATCAAGCCCATGTTTTCCTAGCTGTTTTGTTTTGTTGGGGTTTTTGGATTTTTTATTTGGATAACCCTTCTTCCCACCCCATCCGCTTTTTTTTTTTTTTTTTTTTTAAACAGACTGTCTGTAAATTTACAAACAATTGGCAACCCTGACAAACACTGTCAATTCTTACCCCTCACCCCCAATTACTTTAATAGCGTAAATGGCAGGTGAGCAACACTGATCACCTCTTTTGATTCCTTTTGCCTCTAGACTGATACAGCTACAACCTGGATAGTTGACACATGCTAGGTGATCAATATTCATTTTAGGTTATTTAACTTTTTAAAACGCAACTAAAAAAAAAAAATTACCTTCATAGCTGCTGAATCGATCTCACCTTGCTCCATCCACAAATCCTGTTCATAATAGTATAAACCATCATTAATGACTTTAGCAAGTTCTGATGTAATTTTTGCACGAGACACATGATTACCAGTACGATCTCCACCAGGATGTTTTCTCATGTAAGGAGGTGTCTGTGTTACAATCAAAATCTTGTTTACATCTTGGTCATCAATTTCATAATCCGAATCGCTGTCTGACCAATCTGTAAACTTATTTTTGCGACCTTCTATTTGTTCCATCTCTTCATCAAATAAAAAGTCAAGCTCTTCTTGCTCTTGTTCCTCTCGAGGTGGGGGCTGCTTTTGCTGATTTGTTGTTTGATCAAGTGGAGGTGCAGATTCCTGCATGAGGAAAGAAAGTGTTTGACCTTTCCATTGAGAAACAAATATACCTTACTACTTCAATACTTCTTTTAAATGAGAAGTTTAACTAAACAAAGAGAACAGTGCAATCATGAGCGACACTTTCCAAGCATGAATAACTTAGTTACCTAACCTCCATCTACTTTCAAAGATTCTTAAGCTTATTAAAAAAAAGGGAAAGCCACAGCGCTAAAGGTAATAGAAAATCCTGACACTATCTTTTAAGACTAAATTCTCTCACACCACAGGGCAAAATATTTCTCAGTGAGTACCCATTCATCTTCCACTGCACCAATTTGGGCTATTTGGCCCATTTCCAAAATGAGTAGCAGTTTGGCCTTTTTAAATATTTTTAAAATAAAAAGAGAGTCACATATAAGTTTCTAAATTTCAAGTAGTGTTTATATTAAATACATCATACAATCGAGTGCAACAGTCATTAGAATATGAAAAACTCTTCTTTTAATATCATCATGACCAGCTTTATGATCTAAGTTTTGTTTAGTCAGTTCATAGAAACTACAGTTATCTTCAACTGCCTTAGTAGTGTTCATATCAAGGTATCTACACACTCATTCCATAAACAGCAATGTACTATTTGAAGTCCAAAAAATATGCCCAAAATGAAATACATTTTTTAACACATTCATCAAGATAACTTATGCTACCTTTAATTTAACTGTTGATGGATGATGTCTCTTTTTTACTTCTATCCAAGGTTCAGAGTCCAGATCTGGCAGACTTGTAGACAATCCTTTAGACATTGTTTGAAGGTTACTGGTTTCACTACTTGTCTTTGGACTTATTGGACTTCCCATTCTGGGAGAGCTTGGTGCAGACTCTGAAATTAGTTTTAACAAGAAATAATTTATGTTCCATTCTGGTTGCATTAGTTTTTCCTTTCATTGTTGCTAGAAGTCTCTCTTGCAAGCATTAAATTATACTGATCAGAAAAGAAGAATTAGAAAAGAATCAGAAAAGTAAAGTTCCATAACGAGCAGTCAAAGCAATATTTTAAAGGCATACATTTCTGAAAGCTTTAGGGGGAAAAAAGTTATCCACAGGCACAGTATAATTAGGGACATATTTTCCCATACCAACTTCCAACTTCATTGTTAAATGACTAAATCAACTCTTACTCTATCCTTACCCCAATATCCCTAATAAGAATAGTAATCATTCACAGTTGCAATGGTAAGGGTTTTAGCATACAAGACCATCTCTCTATTAGAAAAGTGAATGCAATTCCCATATAATTAAAATCACCAAATAATATTTCTGTTATTACCAAACTAAGCCAGTTTTCACCAGAAAAAACTTTATTCCATTACCAGTACCTTAAGACAATTATGTCATATATCACCATACAATGCAAAAGAGGGTAGCATTCCATTTGGATCCCATAGTTTCTTTCAAGAAATGCCTATAACTAGCGGTCCACGCAATTTCGAGGAAGCCAGCCAATTTCGCAGGGAAATCGCGTGGCCGGCCACCATTTTTGTAGGCTGATCGCACCATGGCACCCCCACACCTCTGATGGGTGGGGCCACCGGGGCCCTTGGCCATCACCACTGATTAGTTGCAAGGGCCGTCTGTCATATGGTCCTACCCCCGCACCACTGATCGACTGAAGGCTGTCCGTTATGCGGCTCTGCCCCTTGCCACCAATTGGTGGAGAGTCAAGGCCACATGACAGGCAACCCTCTCTTCCAATCAGCTGTGAGGAGTGAGGGCAACAGCCATCTTGGGCTCCCCTCCGTGCCGGCAACCCCCCTCACCTGTCATGGGCTACACGACAGGGCTGCAGTGCCACGGGGATTGCTGGTTCCCTCTGCAGAGTCAGCATTTTATTACCAGTAAGTTTTTCTTCTTTTTTATATATTATTTATTTATTTGTGGATTTCACCAACTGCTATGTCAATTTCACAGGCAATGCCGTATTTCAAGATTTCCATAAAATGGCAATTTTGGTAGGTCCCTACCTATAACTTGACAATTGCTATGGTTGTTAACAGAAACTACTTCCATTTTACTGCTTACTTATGCTCACATACCATAAACATTACCTATCAATTTCCTTCAAGTCAAGGTGTTGTTCCCTCATAAATTACATTTTAAAAGAGATGCTATTCCCTGGCTTTTTGCCATAGTCTAGGTCTTTCTTTTGCTCAGAGATTACTGCATTTATATGGCTGATCTCTAGAAACTGAAGGATTTGGGATGCAGACTAGAAGGTGGTTGAGGATGACCTACTTTCTGAAATTCTATAAAAATGAATTCAAACCTTCTGAGTTCAAATACTGTTTGTTACTTATGCTTGTAACAAAGCACCACCCACTGAAGATTTTGCTAGTACAGTTCAATTAATCTAGACTGCATCATTCCATTAAATGCATCTTCAATGTTGCCATGGTAACATATTTCATTTTACTCTTTCAAATTAAACTTGACAGATGGGCAGAATCTGCCATGCATATATACATATACAAACACATCCATACACACACATACATATATACACAACAAGAAAATATGGATAGGTAGGATGGGGAAACGGTTGTGCTGTATAGGTCTCTGGCCCTCTAGAAAAACAACCCCAATAACCAAAGTACCAATTCTGAATTGGGAAAGTAAGGAGTCAAAGATGTGATATACAAGAAAAGTTGCTTTAATGAGTCACTAGGTCACCGGGAATAAATAGATTTAATAGATTTCATAGACATTAGGGCTGGAAGGGACCTCGGAAGATCATCGAGTCCAGCCCCCTGCCCAAAGGGCAGGAAGTCAGCCGGGTTCATAGGATCCCAGCAAGATGAGCATCCAGTTTGCTCTTGAAGGTGTTCAATGCAGGCGCTTGAACCACCTCCGGTGGCAGGCTGTTCCAGACCTTGGGGGCTCGGACAGTAAAGAAATTCTTCCTTATGTCCAGCCTGAAACGGTCTTGTAGTAGTTTATGACCATTCGACCTAGTCGTCATCCCTTGGGGCGCTCTGGTGAACAAACGTTCCCCCAGATACTGGTGGTCACCCCTGATAAACTTATAGGTGGCCACCAGATCACCCCTGAGCCTGCGCTTTTCCAGGCTAAAGAGCCCCAGGGCTCTCAGCCTGTCATCGTAGGGTCTGCTTCCCTGACCTCTGATCATGTGGCTCTTCTCTGGACTCTCTCAAGCTTCTCCACATCCTTTTTGAATTGTGGAGCCCAAAACTGGACGCAGTACTCCAGCTGCGGCCTCACTAAGGCCGAGTACAAGGGGAGAATGATGTCCCGGGATTTGCTTGAGAAGCATCTATGGATGCAAGCCAGCGTTTTGGTCGCTTTACTAGCAGCAGCAGCATCACACTGCGGGCTTGTGGTCAATGATGACCCCCAAGTCTCTTTCTTGCATAGTGTTGGCCAACATAGCACTGCCGAGCCTATAAGGATGCTGCGGGTTTTTCTTCCCAAGGTGGAGAACCTTGCATTTATCGGCGTTGAACACCATCAGATTCTCGTCCGCCCACTTGCTGAGCCTGTCCAGGTCAGCCTGGATCACCTGCCTGTCTTCTGGTGTGGATGCTTTGCCCCAAAGTTTGGTGTCATCAGCGAACTTGGCCAGTCCACTTCTGACTCCAGTGTCCACATCATTAATGAAGATGTTGGACAGTATGGGTCCAAGGACAGAGCCTTGGGGGACCCCACTGGTCACAGGACACCACGATGAATGACTTCCATCAATTACTACCCTCTGGGTCCGACCCCGGAGGGTAGTAAATAGGATTTGCAGCATGCTAGAACACAGTTATCAAGGGTTCCGAGTAGCACTTCTGTAACCTAGGATTCTGGAGCAAAGGAGGACTTATTCCAGGATGATCATGACTATCTTCAAACTAAGGCAAAGAACTCCTAATCATTCATGCAAATATGATTTTGATTATATGATAAGCTTAACATATAACTATTTAAAAACAAGATTCAAAGCTATCTAGATAGCAAGGGAAAGAAAAGCAGTTATTTGGCTATTGAGTAACTAGTGTTCTTTTTTTTATGAATTGTTCGTAAACCCATTCTCACTGTGGGCAAATCTCGCACCCTTTTTGGCCCAGCAATACTCATAGGCTCTAGCTCTACCTGTCTCTGCCCAATGCTAAGTCACAGAATTCCAAACTGCTTTCAACTCCAAGGAATAAGAGAAGTCAGGTAAGGTTTGAATGTGTAAGTAACAATGCATCTCAAAATTCGGGTACTGATAAATGTTTGTACACACACATACTCTCATTGGAGGCAACTACAATACAACAAACACCCACATACCTTCAGGTGTGTGTACAAACCTTGCTCCCTAAGCAAAGAGTGCCTATAGAATATTCTTAGTAAGCATGGTGTTTGCCCTGGAGGCTTCTGCAATTGCATAGTACTCGGTAAATGTGTGTCAGGCTCCAGGTAGCTGCCAATGTTATGGAAACATTGTGAAGGGAGGCCATGGAAGTGGCCTTGGCTTTGGTGAATATGCCCTAATTTACAGATGGCATTTACACCTTTTCCCAGCCTTATACACAATTAGGTAAGTCTCTGGGCTGAGATCACTGTACTTTTGTTTTCCTCTACTAAGGAGACAAACAGCCTTGAAGAATTCAGGAAGGGATGGGTTCAGTGAAGGTAATAAGGTCTTCTGACCTTGAGAATGAAGTAAAACCTCTGCTTGGGATGAATGAGGGTTTTTTTTGTTGGGTTTTTTGTTTGTTTTTTGAGGGGGGGCAGGGGTGTAAATTAACTTAATGTGGCAGATTAAAATCTGTAATCACTTTGGCAATGAACTTCTCCAGGACACCTTAGGATAGGAAGTCAGGCACAGGGATCCACCATAATAGCTTCAACCATTCTTGCCAAAGTAACTGTCACCAAAAAGGCTACTTTTATGGACAAGTGCTGAAGAAAGTATGTTGTAACTGGCTCAAACAATGCTTTCATTAACATGAACACTAGATTCAAATTCTGTTGTGGAACAGGATCTCTGATATGCAAAAATACTTTAAACAAGTTCTTAAGGAATCCAAGGGCTTCTGGGTGGGGTAGCATGCACTGATTCTTCACTGATAGATGAAATGCTGAGACACTGACGCACATTAGCGGAGCTGCCGGCTAGACTGGCAGGCTTTAGCACTAACCTGCTCTAATTCTGCAAGAACATGAATAGGTCACTGAAGACTGTATGCACACCCATGCTTTCTAGCTGGCTTGAACATGTACTGGGTAGACCAGAATACTCATGCCAGAAAGCTGTCAGCTGCTAGGAGCTTCTTCTGTGCAAAGGCTGGAATTTTTGTTTGTAAGAGAGAAAATAGACTCCCAGAGATCTAAATGTGACTGGAGTTTTTAAGAGCGCAGTCGCACCTGTCCTAGAACTAAGTCTTCCACAGTCACTTGCACCATCTTGAGGATGCCAAAACTTTGGAGCAAAGAGTCATGGCATGTAACAAGCTATTTATCTGGAGGCAGTGTTCACTGCTAGGTGGAGAAGAGTTTTTGATGTGAGCCTAAGGTTTCTTCTGTCATGGATAAAGTAGCAGGCAAAATCAGGACATGCTCACAGATCCAGAATTGGTAGTTTGTGATCCTATATTGTAGACTCATGGATGAAAAGGACATCTTAAGTAGTCCTTTTCATCTCTAAACTAGTTCAGCTATTCATTGACAACTGTTACTGCCAGTAAGCAGAGACAGAGAGAAATGCATGTATTCCACCACCTGTTGGCTTGTGGTAGGTGGAAGGCACAATGCTGGAGCTTGCCACACTTTTCTTACAGGATCTTTACGACCTCCTTGACTTGGAAAGCCAGTCTGGAAGGACCCTCCTGTCATAAACGGCCCACAAAAATAAAGTGACTCAGAGTTCTCTAACAAGTTGTTAGAAATCTGGGTGATTTGACTTGGTAAGCTCTGAAAACTTCCATTGCCCTCTTCAGGTTGCAGAATAGAGTATAGAGTACACTACATAGCACGCAGTATCATGTGGAAAATCTCAATCCACGGTTAGAAGATAAACTAAGGGATTTATCCAAAGAAGAGTCTTAGCTTCACCTCAGCATAACAGATCCTAGGTTTGAAGGACCAATGCATCAAAAATGAACTAGGAATGCGGGTCTCAAATACACAAGAGAGGTACCTCATGTTTGTCAAGCTGTCTCACTGTAGTACAGAACTGAAATCCCAAAGCAAGTTAGACAAGGTTCTTTTGGTAAATCTGATATCTTTTATTAGACCAACCCAAATAGTTGGAAAAATTCTTCTTTGTAAGCTCTTGAGTATAAATACCCTTCTTCAGGCAGAGGAAGCATCTGCAGTTGGTGTGTGCTCCTCCTGGATGGAATGAATAGTAAAGAAGCCAGAGGCTAGTATGCATGCAAGACAGGCAGCCAGTGAAGATGTAAACTGAGGAGCCAGTAGAACCTTGTCTGCCTATGTCCCTAGACCAACATGGCTATAACCTATATCCCTGTAACAGAACAAGTTAGAACAGTTGAGGAACCCATACCAGCAGGAGTCTTTTGTGAACTCTGACCTTGCAAAGAATAAGAGCTAGGTTAGAGATAAAGGGTGATGGTGTCAGTATTACAGCACCTTGTGGGATTGTTCAAAATAAAAGGGGTGCAAAAGTACCAACTCACAGACACTAAGCTATACACTCAAAGGCCACATCCGGACTAGCACGACCATGCTGTACGTGGTGTTGCAGACATGTCTACAGCACCACATACCGCACATTCAGGTGTTTTCTGTGCTGCATGATAGCAGCGTGGCGGGGAGATTTTGACTCTGGGAGATCCTGGGGTCAAATAAACCTGTGCAAAAAAAAAAAAAAAGAAAAGAAAAGGGGAGTGGCGCACACAGGGGCAGCACGTGCTGAAACCAGAGCCTGGCCAGCAGGAGCTGGCCCACCCAGAGCCATGCTACGGCTGCTGTCCAGACTTTGCGTGGCAAAATCATGACTGCTGCAGCCCTGGGAGGCCCCCAAGACCCCAGGTAAGCAGTCCACTGCTGGCCCCAGCCTCCCCTATCCCACCTGGGGTAACCTGCCACGCGCCAGAAGGCACACAGCATAGGCATACTCCGGAAACAAGTAGCAGCAGCACAAGGTGTGCTGCTCCTTCTTATCCCTGGGAAAACAATGTCCACGCTTGTGTGGACACAGCCAGAGAGCCTAAGATTTTTTTTTTTTTTTCCCCACAGCAGCAAAGAAACGTAGTAAGGAAAACAGAAATTTAATACAAATGGAGAAATATTCTGGGGTAACTCTTAAATGTAACCAGGAATTTTAACACCCCACTGCCTCAAACTAGTAGCTGGTAGGAAATAAGGACCAGGAAGTACATGTTTTCTTACACACACACATACATACATCCCCTCCATCCCCTACCATCAGTATAGGGCAGGAAGATACGTGGAACTAGAACAGGAGCTGGCAATTATTTTGGGTGGAGGACTGCTTAAGTTTTGATGAGCTGTGAAGGGCCAGAAGGGTAGCCCAACCCCTAGACGGGTGCCCTACCCCTGGTCACCATCTTGGGACTGGAAGTCCTGCCCCCTAACCTTTGGCCTTTGCCACCAGAAGTTCCTCTCCTTGCCCTCAGAAGTACTCTTTTTTTTTTTTTTTTGGGGGGGGGGTGGGGGGAAGAGAAGGTGCCATCTTGGAAAGGGAAAAAACATACAAATCATATACTAAAAATCAAGCATCTACTAAAACCCACTTTAAATTTTATTTTAAAAAATATTGTTGTCCTGATTTACATGCGCTTCCATAGTGTAGAGAGAGGTGATTGCATAATAGCTCAAAAATAAAGTCTTACTCTTGCATATTGTGTGTGGGGTGTGAGTGCGCGAGTGTGTGGGGTTTGTGGGGGGTTGCTGGCATGTATGGGGGCGTGACTACGTATGTGGACAGGGTGTGGTGGTGTGCGAGGGGGTGTGCCCCCCCGCCACCCCTCCCCCTTGGTACATAGCCCTTGCCACTGGCAGCAGCAGCAGCAAAGGGGCCCTTGGGGTGCTTATGGCCCATGCAGGCAGAGCCCCCCCAGCAGCACATGGCTCTGGCCACTTCCAGGATCTGCATGTGGTGGCAGGGAGTAGGGCCAAGCTGGCCTGCCTCCACTGCACAGGGATCGCCATGGCTCATGTGTGGCTCCTGGGACCCAGCCAGAGCTGCATGCCGGGAGGGGGGAGCCTCACACAATGGAGCCAGCAGCTGTCCCTGCTCCCTGTCACCACATGCGGCACCACCACCGGGACTCTGCTGGGAAGTAGGGAACGGGGCCAAGCCAGCCTGGCTCCATCACACAGGGTCTGGCCCTGTTCCCTACTTCCCAGAGTTCCAGAAACTGCATGTGGCAGCCTAGAGCAGCAAAGGCCGCCAGCTCCATTGCATGGTTTCCCCCCAGTGGCACACATGTCCCAAGAGCTGCACATGAGCTGCGGGGAGCCCTACATTATGGAACAGGGCTGATGCGGGTGCTGTGCTCCTGCTGCCCACTGGGCGCAGGCCCCAGTCCTGCACTCCCACCTAGCTGCAACTTCTCCCCGCCTGCTAACACTTCTCTACCTGTTACCTGGAGCGCTACAGCAAGGACACAAGGAGGAGCTGCTGGAGGCTGGGGGAGACTAGCAGTTCCCCCATAAGCAGCAGCAGTGGCCATGCTGGCCAGAGTTGTGGCTGGGGCTCTCCCCCACATTAGGGTGGGAGCACAGCGCACTGCCCCAATGGGAGCATGCGAGTGCAGCAGGGGCAGCTGCAGGCTAGGCAGGATACAATTAATTGGACCATGCTGCCCACAGGCCAACTGAAATTGCCTGGAGGGCCAGATGAGCCCCATGGGCCCTATTTTGCCCACCCCTAAGCTAAAATGTGTTCCTTGGGTATTGCTAAAGGGAAAAAAAAAAAGTCACTAATCAAGGGCTCAATGCATGAAAGACACTAATACTTACAGAATGTATAAGTGGACAATTATTCAAAGGACAGTTTGAAATCATCCCTCATACATTACAGATGTCATTCTATCAGCAGTGTCCTGCCACCAAAACAGGAGGCAAATTTTCAAAACAAAAGTAAAAATCTTTTGGAAAAAGACACTGAGTTAAAGAAAAAAACTGAAATACAAACTAGTTTACTGGGTTTTTCCTTCCTGTCTGTACCTCTATCAGTCTTGCAATTCTCTAACTGGCTAAAACATCCTTACCCGTTTCTTATGTGAAATCTGATATCAACTTTATATAAACTTTAAGCCTACTAAAGCCTGCAAAGTTTCACTCCTAAACTTTATTATTCTTTTGTAAAAATAAATATCTTACCAGTATGAGAGCCAAATGCTTTGCCTGGTATGAATTCTGGGCAGTTGATGAGCTGAGAGAAGTCAGTCTGTTGCAGATTACATGGAGAGGCACCAGGAATTGGCCATTTTTCTGGATCTATCCTTTTCCTCATCTTCTGATCTATTATTTCCACTTCTGTACTTTCCTTTAGAGCCTGTGTGTCAAATATGTTGCATCATTAAGAAAAACACATATCCATAGCCAGCGCTATACTGCTGATAAACATAGATCCAGTGAACTTTACAGTGAAATGAAACACCTCAATTCATTTTTATGTAATTTTCCAGTGTAATTAGAAAAAACTTTTCATGTAAATGAACATGAAGCTCTCAATACCCATTTTGATCATTTACATTTTCAATTATAAACCTGGATGAAGAGAGTCAATCTAGGACTCAGCACCATATATTTTCACTACAGTAATTCTGAATTATCATTGTGGCACTGCTTCAAGCATTAGCTGCTGATTATGGTTTTGAAGCCTAAACTCCAAGTACCAATTAACTCAAACTAACTTTCAGGAATGACTTAAGGTAAGTAACATCACATAACAAAGCCTGGTCTACATTTAAAACTTGGTCTGATGCCAAATTCACATTTAAAGCTTTACTATCATAACTTTTTTTCTCCTCCTAAAGGGTGATGGTTATTTACCAACAATTGTGCAAGCAAGATCCCTAGCATAGACAACTGCAAGTGTAAGGCAATTTATTATGGTGTAACTTATTTCATTTTGATTAACTGAATTTAAACTCAGTATACTTTTAATATGGATATAATTGTATTTGTACAAGGAAAATATTAGTTTGACTAGATTGGCATACTGCAGACAGAGGCTGGATCCAGCCCATAGAGCCCTATCACCTAGCCTGGGGTACTACTGGAGGATTTCAGACTGGGCCCACGCACCATAAGCCCCAGTCAGGAGCAGGCACTGCATAAGGCTGGTCCGGGGAGCACGCTTCATGCAGCACCTGCACTAGACTAGTCACATGCGCTGGATCCGGCACAGAGCCCCAAGTCTGTGGGCTTCATCTGGCCTGTGGACCAGTCCCACACTATTCAACCAATCTGCAGGGCCTGATGAGTTTGATACTCCTACTGCAGACTAATTCTGGTAAGTAGGGCCATCCCAGGGGGGAGTGCTTTGGGGGGCTCCACGTCCAGCCGCTCACTACCCCCCCTACCCTCCCCCCTGCTGCCAGTGCCACTAGCAGGTCGGGGCCTATGGGATCAGAGCAGAGGCAGGGCCCCACATCGCCTGATTTGCCCCAGGTCCTACACCCTGCTCAGGTCACCTCTGCTGGTAAGACACAACAGTGAAGACAGTATAAATAACATTTAGTTGAACGTACAATTAAATGCAGCTAAAAATCATGGAAATAAAGAGTTAATAATTCAGTGTTGTTTATTTGACTCTTCAATCCCTAAGGAACATTTGGCGCAAAAAAACACTTCCACAAACAAGTACAAAACTGCCACACACTGCCCCCCCAAGCTTAATATTGCTATTGCTATCAAAACTTAAGGCCAAATTAATTAAGTGTGATCCAAACTGAACCTACAATTAACGGCTAAAATAAAAGCCCTTTACATGTCATAGGAAAGTGATCTTTTAAAGTTCTGTCTGTTTTGTATGGGGTGGGGTGGGAGAGGTAGGGAAGGGAATAAAAAATGCTTTTCCCCATACTGCCGCAACTCCAAAATTCTCTTATTTCTTAAATCGGAATTGTGTATTATTTTTTTAACACAGCAAAGTGTTTGACAATAAGATCAATATATATTATTATATGCTTTTAATTCTTTTTTCATTAGCGTTTTTTGTTTTTTTAACATTTGACTCTTAAAAATATGTTAAATATAAACATGCTTATAAAACAAATTAAAAAATTGACAAAAGGACTCAGACCAGCGAAGTAACTTCCGAATTTTATTGAAATATAAATTTGCTCTTGAAAATAAATCATTCAAAGTAGATATTACTGGTAGTAAGTTTCCACCCTGCTAACCAGCTGACTGCACACCTATTCAAAATGAATTTCTTTGAAACCTACAAAGACAATACTATTCATTGAGTTCAAGTTGCAAATTTCAATTACAAAGATACACTGTTAAAAAATATATAGTTCAAAACTGGCAGTTCTTTCTCCAGTGACATAGAAAGTTTCAGCTGAAAAGGTTTTCAGAACATATTCAAGTTTAAACGGAGGATCTCTTCAAACCAAACTGCAACCTTAATTTTATGAGCTTCTTTTTTTTTTTTTTAGAAACTGCAAAATATCTACCTTTAACAGGAATTCTTAAGAGGCCTGTACACATTTATGCCCTTAGGATGTGGCCAATAAAACCTTCTGGTCGCAATGTTAATTGGTAATTTGTTTGTCGCCTCCTACTTTTCTCCTAACTGTCTCTGAACTGCCTGAGGGACAAGTTTGTACAAAAACTGCCTCAATTCCTTCCACCAACCTCTCCAGGTCCAGGATTACAATTAGGATTCCAAGGCCACATTTCCATGAATGGTGTCTACCCCAAGCCAAGAAGACTTGAGACAAAAGCCTGGAGCTACTAACTTAGGGCAACTACTAGGGGTGTGCGAAATGGGCCATGTTCGATTTAGATTCGGCCTGAATCAGGGACAGCGATTCGATTAGTTGATTTGGATCACTGTCCCTGATTTGATTTGGCCAAATCCGAATCTGAAGATTCGATGCTAATTTAGAGAATCAGCGATTCGGCCATAGATACAGCTTTAAATGTTTTTTCTACATACCTCAAGGTATCAGGCACAGCTCGTGAATGCTACAATGCTGGGGCAGATGGAATGTCCCGCAGGAGTGCGGGGCCCGCCCCACACCATACTCAGCAACGAACCCAGAAGTGAATCAGAAACACTTCCTGTCCACGTGTGAGTCCACTGGGAGCTGCTCCCAGCATGCTCCCCAGAGGGACCTGGAAGTGCTTCTGGTCCACTTCCAGGTCTGCTGCCAAGCATGCTGGGGAGCCCCCCACACTCCTTTGGGATGCTATCTCCACCCCAGCATCTCAGCATTCACAAGCCGCCTGGTACCTTGAGGTATATAGGAAAAACATTTAAAGCTGTCTATGTCTGAATCACCAAATCTTTCCGAATCTCTGAGTTGATTTGGAGAAATTAAATGGTCTCCCGATTCGATTTGGATTCAGAGATTCGGCCACCGAATCGTGTGAATCTCCGCTGAAGCAAATCAGGGACCGAAGCTTCGCGCAGCCCTAGCAACTACATACAAAGAAATAGCTGTCCGAGGACTGGAATCGGGGTAGAATTTCCTGGGTTAGATGACAGTTCTAAAATTGAAACAAGTTATCTACACATTTATGTACATAGACATAAGTTACTTTACCTCTAGGATGAGGTTAACATTTGTAGTCAGAGCTTGCACACGGTGGAAGGTGGCAATCAAAGAAATAGGTAAGAATCCTTGTTGGTCCATCTTTCTTCTCAGAAAGAAGTCTCTTTCCAAATTTTCTGTGCTGAAATAATACTCACTGGAGAAAGAAACATGTAAACGTGAACCCACTGCAAGTTGGTTTCTTTAGGTTTAGTTTTAAGTTATAATTATTCATATCAAGCCTTCCATCACACATTTTAATACATTTTGTCAGAAAGAATGTTTTAGAGTTTGTTATTTATGGACCAGAAGTTACAAAATGGCACAAATATTCAAAGAAGCCAAATAGAACAATGCATACATTGTAATTTATGGTCCAGCAAATTAAACACAGGTATAGTCAAAGCCTCATTACTGCATTCGCTAACTAGTATATATGAATGACAAAAGCAAGCCAGAAAAGATACTACTTTTCTTTTTGTTGTTCAATCATTCTTTCCCTTCTCTTACATGAGTAGAGGAAGACATTCCCTTAGCATTCATATTAATTAAGGCCAACGTACTGTTGACTACGGATGGCAAATATTATTCTCAGTGAATTTCCACATTCACATTTATCTTTTTCTTGCTGAAGTTCCCAACAGATTACAATGCTTAGGTATCTTATTTCCGAGTAAAAAAATATATATACAAGCACTCTTCATGCAAGCTAAAGGAAAGATAAGGAAGTAAGAGAAGTATTACATGGAAAAACATAGCTTTGCATTGCTAAAGAAATGGAGGTGTGAGTACCAGGAGGCACTAAAGAGTACTTTGTACCACCATTTATACCTGGAAAAAGGGAATTTCTTCAAGAATGAAGGGGGTAATAAACGAGTAAAACACAGAAAAGCAACTCGGTATGGCAACTAAGTTTCTTTATGAAACAGTAGATGTTGACATCTTGACTAAGTAAAGGGGTGAAGAAAATGAAAAAAAATGTAATTGAGACACGCTACAATAAGATGTAAACTAGAAAAGATCCTAGGAAGAGATGCAGCAAGTTCAACTGATCATGGGACAAAAACGTATGACCTTTTAGACAGACCCTGCACTGGATTACGTTCCTGAATGTAAGCAGCCAAAGGGTGCACTCCCCACTATCATGGAGTTGAAAACGTAAGCACTTTGTAGGCACAATTTAGTCTTTTATAAAAAGCCAAGAAACCTTAACAAAATGGAATGGAGGGAGTCAACACAAAAGAATGCTGAGGAAATCTGGATACCAAGGGAAGTATGTCATTAATTTTAATAAATGGAATTTCAGGTCTCAACAGAGAATCAAAGTCTAAGCTAAAAGCCTCCAGAGAAGTCTGATTCAATGCAAAAGCTGCCTTAAGGAGCACTGTGACTTCACCACTGTCTCTGGCAGATAAAGGAGAAAGCAAATGATTTTTTCCTTGAGAGTACCAACAAAAACTAAGCATATTGTCAGCACTCTACAGACAACAAATACAAAGCTTCCAAGTTAGAAGGGACTTACAAGAGATGATAGCTATTCCCTTTAGGCCAGAGCCAACACAGAAGAAGGTAAAAAACTGTCTGAGAAGCATGATCTTGTTCAGTATCCTGCAGGCAGAGTAAACTTTAACAAGTAAAGTCCTTCTATAAAAGCAGGATCCAGGTTTCTTTCAAAGCTATTCTGCATGCTATTATGAAATCTTAATCCTCTCCATCCCTCATTTGAAAGGCAGACAAGAAGGAATACATACAGATACTATTTACTTTATAGCTGTAAATGTAACATTTTAGTTAAGGTAAAATCTCAGATAAGTTCCACCTAGTCATACAAGTTCCACAAGCATGAATGAAAAGTGGAAACTGAAGTTGACGCAAACCACTTTACTGATGTCCACTATTCTACAGAGAGGGAAATTGCAATATCATTAATGATCATGAAGACATAAAAATTACAAAATTTAGTCCAAAGAAGACAGTAATTTTTAAAATATTTTTTGTCTTTCCCAGAAGTTTTTCAATCATTTTTAAGAGGATGCAAGTTTGGGTGTATGCCAATGTTAAATAAAATTTCATTTGGAAAAAATAATTATTTTCTGATACAAAATGATGCATTTTTAGTGCACTCCAATTTTAGAACAAACACAAAAATTTGAAATAGGTCTAATACAAGGCATTATTAATTATACTTTATTTTAAATAATTTTTACTTTGCATATTAACGTGCATCAACCTGTATACTACTATGGAGTAACACTCATTCTCACTTAAGTTAGAGAAATGTGTATCGGTCATGGAAACTAGCTTGGCATTGTTCTTGTAGCCACAAATCCTATCAAAGTTTCTTTTCTTATGAAAGAGGCTAATATCTCTAAAACTCTTCAATACATAAGGGTTCAAAAAAACCCTTACGTGCTTAAAATAGCCTCACTTATCTTTGACTCCACTGAGGAATGAGCTTTCTGTACAAGTTTATTTACAATCAACTTTCTTCTTCTGACATTCTACCTTTTATAATTTATACTTATGAAGTATTAAAATAAGAACATAAACTCCACTTAGAAGCGATATAATGGATAACCAAAGCAGCAAGCTGATTCCCCATGACTTGACTCAAATGCAATGAGGACTGAAAAAAAATTATGGAGCCTCCAAGAATCTTGTAAAAGGAGAAAAGCCAAAAGAAATTATGTTCTAAACCTGCTCAACAGTGTCTCTCTTGTGAAAGGCAAACTCCACAACCAAGGAGTCTCAGGGATTTCCAACAAACCAAGCAACCAATGAGTCTGGTTAACCAGCCATCTTAAGCCTTTTATTGACACCTGCCAACATCTTGTTGCTAAAATAAAATACAAATACAATCAGAAGTCAGATGCGACCAATGCTGTAACTGAATATTTTCTGAGCATCAGAGGGGGACATCATCATGTCCTACCTTAGAAGATCTCGATTCTACACTGCATGCCCAGAAATCTGGCCAACAGTGAAGTGTCTGTGCTCCTCCCTCACTTGTCTGAGGACAGTGCGGGCCGATTATCCTGACATGGAGATGCATGTCCACTGTCAGGTCTCAGAGGGGCCTGACAGTAAGAGGGTTAAAAAAGACTGCAATAGAGGTTTGAAGCCACATGCCAGATACTTTCTGCCCTTAAATAGGCCTTTTTCTTCCTGTTTTGCGTCAACTGTAACAAAAGAAGCAAGAGTAAAATGAGCAAGTTGCTTTATGGAACACAAGGGCAACATAATCCACCACAAAGGCAAAGGCATCATAGAAAATGCCGCTGAAAGCACAGAAGATGAAATAGCTGCAAGTGGTGGAAAAATATCTTTTTTCATTCATTAGTGACCTAGTGGGTTCCATAATCTTGTTTGATATGCCACTTGCAATAACCAGTCTTCCAAATGGTTTTTCATTCCCTAATGGTATAAATAGGAAAGAGCAAATAATTCAGATTATTGAAAAAAAATCAAGTATATGGCATATTTCAAACACTGTCTTAGTACTTTTGGGTGAAACATACTGTAAAACAGACCTATAAGATTTTTTAAAATGAAACTGAGAGCAAGTAAGAGAAAAATCTTTTCAGTAACTTCAGCTAAGTTACCCAGGAAAGAGTCCTACATGCAAATAGATCTGCAGTACTCAGTAGCAAACAGACATCCAATCTTCAATTACAAGAACAAATAAAGGAGGACGTGCGCCATGAATTAAAAACAGTTTATAATGCCAAAAGGCTAAGGATCTTAATTAAAGTTCCTAATTCTCCATTACTCAGCAAAATTAAGTAGGTATTTACTACTAGCGATGGGCAGATCGTGGATGCTTAGGAGCAACTAACTTCTGTACTACTTCACCAATACATAGAAAAAAAACTTACGCCAAACACTGAAATTAATTTCTTACACAGATCCCAGAATTTGCTCTAAAAATTCATGTACTTACATCTGACGTTTAATGTATTCTTTGAGCAGTGTTTCATCCACAGAATACATCTGCACTCCCGTTCCATCATCATAGTAATACATCATACTAGTGTTAAGTTCTGGTTGAAATGCCTGATCAGTCCTTTCACCATACAATTCTTGGTGACCATATGAATACTCATAGTTCACTTAAAAAGAATGGATTGGGAGGTTAGGGGAAGGAAAAGATAAACAGGAAAATCTAATATGAAAAATTGCATTGAGATATATAAATAGGAATGTATTATCTTTTTGGACAAGAAGCATTTGGTACCAGATCTCAATAAAGGAAGTCAGAACTCTACTACTTATAAGATGGCATGCAAATCATATGGACCAATATTTAGGATTTGATTTTTCAGACCAGGGAGGGTTGTACAACTTAAACATGTGATCTTAACTATCAAAATAGATTTTATCTTTAACAAGTATCTAGTCTTCCATACCTCTAGGGTTTCCTCTGCCACGCCCTCTTCCTCGGCCTCGACCTCTTCCTCGGCCTCTAAAGAGTCCTCGAACACTTCCACCCTCACTTCTCACACTGGAAACTTCATCATGGTCATCTCTCTTTTCCCTATCACGGCGCCAGCCTGTAAAAGAAAAAAAAAAGTACTTAATTTAAAATCAAATTTAACCAAGTAGTTTTGTAGAGTTTTTCCACAGGTATGTCACTGCACTGTGAAACATATGTAAGCCTTTCTAGAGGCCTCGGGTCTGCGCAGAAGTAGTTAGGGATCTTCTGAAAGGGCTGGATGTTTTCAAATCTGCAGGCTCTGATGCCCTCCACCCATGGGTGTTGAGGGAGCTGGCGGGGGTCATTGCTGTGCCCCTGGCCCGGCTGCACGAGCGATCATGGTCCACAGGCCAGGTGCCCGGAGATTGGAAATTAGCTAATGTGGTCCCCATCTATAAGAAAGGGAGGAAGGAGGACCTGGGAAACTATAGGCCCATAAGCCTCACATCGGTTTTGGGGAAAATCCTTGAAAAAAATCATTAAGGAGCACATCTGTAAGGGGCCAGCAAGGGAGATCATGCCCAGAGGAAATCAACATGGATTCATCAAAGGCAGGTCCTGCCAGACCAACCTGATGGCCTTTTATGACCAGGTAACTAAATCCCTGGATGATGGTGTCGCCATGGATGTAGCCTTTCTGGACTTTAAAAAGGCCTTTGACTCTGTGTCTCACCCCATTCTCATTAATAAACTGAGCGACAGTGGCATTGATGCCTACAGAGTTGGATGGGTCAAAAATTGGCTGATGGGGCACACCCAGAGAGTGGTGGTGGACAGGTCGTACTTGACCTGGTGGGATGTGAACAGTGGGGTCCCCCAGGGCTCGCTCCTGGGGCCTACACTGTCCAACATCTTCATCAGCGACTTGGATGAAAGAGAGGCTACAATTAGACTTAGACAGACTACAGAGGTGAGCGGATGGTAATAGGATGGGGTTCAATGTAGATAAATGCAGGGTGCTGCACCTAGGGAGAAGGAATCCACAGCATACATACAAGCTGGGGAGCTCCTCCCTTGAGAGCACAGAGGCGGAAAGGGATCTTGGAGTCATTATTGACTCCAAGATGAGCATGAGCCGCCAATGCCAGACCACAGTCAGCAAAGCCAACCACAACTTGTCGTGCATCCAAAGATGCATCTCAAGCCGGTCCAGAGAGGTGATACTCTCCCTCTACGCAACATTGGTCCAGCCTCAATTGGAGTACTGCGTCCAGTTCTGGGCACCACACTTTAGGAAGGATGTGGCCTGCCTTGAGAGGGTTCAGAGGAGGGCCACCCACTTGGTTGGAGGGCAAAAGTGCAGGCCCTATGTGGAGAGGCTGAGGGACCTGAACCTGTTCAGCCTCAGCAAGGGGAGCAAACAGATGTTGGCCACAATAAAGTGGCACTGTTTATTACTACTTGTTGTCACAGCCACTGATGTAGTGCAACAAAGGGTAGGGCCATCTATTTGTTCACCATTTGTGCCATCGGAAATTTTTTTTATGAAGGCACATATGCAACATTAGGTAATGCCTGATTCTACCCGAACACACTGATAACCCTGGAAGAGGTGGATTTCTATGAATTTATCAAGAGGACTGTATCTTACAACTGGTACTGTGTGGTGGATTGCCTAGATGCTGTAGATCTGGTGATGGATGACAAGGCCATATCATCTCACCAGATTGCCCTGGAAGGGAAACAATAAGACAACTCCCATTTCAGACTACCTTAGCTCTGCCTTCCACCCCTTGGCAATCTGGGGAACAGGTACTAGGACTGAACTAAACTGAATGATGCCGAAACAAAAAGTCCCTATCATTACTCTTCAATATACTCACTGACCCTATTAGGTCTAGCCGCACAGATCCAAAAATTAGTTGCAACAAGTTTTAGGAGCTTACCAACAGAGAAGCGCAGCTACAACTAAAGGAATCAGGGTTATCTATTTTCTGACATTTGTGTTATACAAGATTTCTGAGTGAATGATCATCAAAGTGGTACATGATCCCAAAAAATAAGAATATATGAATTTTAAAATGTCTACTAAGTTTTAAAGGCCACCAGTACAGCTACTACAGTCTGCTCCAGAGACTGACATTTCAAGACAACAGTAGAATACACAGTTTCACCCTATTTAACTCGTTCCAATGTTCTCAGTCTCCATCAGAACCTTTTATAAGCACTGGCATTCACACACCATCAGACATTGATGAGATGCACTACTATTCAGGCAAGTGCACCACAAGGTTGAAGCAGGATTAGCTGAAAATGACATGCTAAGGGTAATAATAACAAGTGTTAATTTCTAGCCAATCTTTGAATATTTGCCCAAATTGACAAAGGGGTCAAGAGCCAGCTACACCTGACCTACACATGTACACCAAGCCCAAACTTCATTCAAAACTTTATCCTAGTCCAAAAAAAAAAAAAAGGTCAGAGTTCCCCCCTCACATTAATCGTCACTCCTTGTTCTCTTCCTGATGTTCAGTAATCCTGTGATTACTCAAAGGCAGCATATAGAGGATTGCAAGAGGGTGTGGCGTTTGAGATATCACTGATACTGTTTCCTGTTTTTCAAAGTTTTGGCCAAATTCTGAAAAGGCATGAGAGGCAATACTAAATTACCTTTATTTTCCTTAATGCATTTTGCAGCAACTTAAAAAAAATTTGCTAATAGAGTAAAAAAAAGATGCTGTTATCATTAAAAAAGACCTTTTGATTTACTATTCAGAGTAAATCTTTCAATTACTAATTTCAAGTAACTTTTTGGCAGCTATTACGATCAAATTTTATTAATGTCAAAGTCAGTTTTTTTGCACAAAAGACCAAGCTCATAACATATGCACAGAAGACAGCATTAGAAAGAAAGTGGGTAGGGGGCCGATACCAATAGCTGATTTTTAAGGAGGCATATTGGCCAATACTGATCTGATTTTCGATACAGCTATGTACAGTCTGTGTGCCTCTTATGCCTTTTCAGAATTTGGCCAAAATTTTGGAAAACAGGAAACAGTCTGTTGTGGTGAAAGGGGAGGGAGGAGGTAAGGGGCATGGGGGTACAGATCAAGGCCCCTGCAGTGAGGGAGAGAGTGGGGCTGGGTAGAGCTGCAGAGGGTCCCGCAGCTCCTGCCACTGTGCATAC